TAATATAATATAATATAATATAATATAAAAATATTTATTATAATAACTTTTTCCAATTTTCTAATATTCAATAATATAATATATACATTATATTATATTTTATGTATTAATTTTTAAATTACAATTATATTTTTCATATTTATATATAAAGATTAAGTATAGTAAATATTTTACATATATATATCATGTAATATTATACATATTATATTTTAATAAAACAAAAAAGGAATTTATTAATTTTAATAAAGCAAAAAAAATTTCATATAATAATGAAATATTTAAATGTATAGTTGAATATAAAATATAAAATTAAAAATATAAAATATTTTGTAAAATATTTATTCTTCAAATATTTATTCAAATATTCAATATGCTATATATTTCTTTTATACATCAAATAATGAATTTAAAAAATTCATTTTTTTAAATTAATAAATTAATTTTTTTATTATTCTATTAATTTAAATAGAATTTTAAATTATAAAAAAATAATTTGTTTTAATTTAATACTTTTTAATAAGTAACATTTCTTCTATTTTAGAGTATGAAAAATATATTTTCAATATTTGTAATAATGAAATATTTCGAAACATATGTATATGTATGTATTAACATAAATGAAAAATTTATTCTATAAATATATTGATTATAATCAAAGTTGCTATAAATATTGCAAAGAATTTATTATTTTTTAAGTATTTAATTTAATTATCTATATTTTATATTTTATTATACGTAAATCAATTTTTAAATATTGCAAGAAGTATTAAAGCAATCATCATCAAGTATTATTAAATAAAATAATATATATATATAACTATCTATATATTATAATGTAAATTTTTATTAATTCGAATAATTTGCTACATATTATATAATATCAATTCAAAAAAAAAAATTCATAAAAATTTAGAAAATTTAGAAAAACTAAATTAGTTTTATTATTTATAAACTGCATTAATTTTTACATTTTTTTATAATTATCTTTTAAATAAGTATTATATACATAAAGTTGTGATTATTTAAACTAAATGTATCAAATGTATATTCTTTCTTTAGATATTGTATTAAATCTTATTTAATTTATATATATTAAATAAAAATTAAATTTTACAAATTTTTAATAAATACATGAATCAAATAAATTAATAACATTTAATCGAAATATTTAGATTCTAATTATATATGATAAATATATATACAAAGATACATATATATAGATATATATTTAATAAAATATAATTTCTTATTAATATATTAAAATATTTTTTATACATAATAAAAAAGCGTAAGTTTAAAAAAATATATATTCAAGAAGAAAATAAATAAAATTTATGTATTTTTTTAATACATAAATTCTTTATATAACAAGTTTTTGTATTTGAAAATTTTATTTGAAAGAATTTATTATAATTATATTATATATATTATATATTATATTATTTAAAATATATAACCAAAATGAAGTATCTATAACAATTAATACAAAAATAAAATAAAAAGCCATATATGTATATAAATATATTTTGATGATCAATATATTTACATATGATATTTTATTATATATATATAAATAACCAAAAAATTACTTTGATATTGTTAATAATCCTTCTTTCTTGAGTAAGTATATAAGATATACATATTCATAGAATATTTTTGAAATCGATTCTAGAGGTCAAATCAAATATAAAAATTATAATTAAAGCTTAGTATATAAAAATATTAATTGAGAGTTGAGTTATAATATATATTTGAAGTTTAACGTTAAAAAATGAAAACGGAAATAAATCGAAATGTTAATATGATAAAAAGTTCTTATTTTATGTTCGTTTTGCTTCATTTAATACAAATTAGTATATCTTAATAAATAAATTTTAACCGGTGTTGTATATATTTTTATATACCCATTTGTGTAGTTTTTAAAATTGATCTTCTAAAAGTATATTTCTAAATATATACTTATATGAATATTGCTATAGAGGTTAGGAATATTTTCTTTTTTTTATTCATCTATTCTTCTATATGATCTTATCTATAAATGTAATATTTTCTATACTTGTATTTATTTTTAAGTTTATTACATGTATTTTTATAAAAAATGCCAATAATAAAATGTTATATAATTATATAATGTAATAGTTTTATTTTATATCCCATTATTCCAAATTTAATAATATTACATCGAATAATTTTAGAATATATATGTTTTTTTTATATTAATTTTGTAAAATATTTTTGTATAGAATTTTATTATTTGTATATTTATTTAATATATAGTATTCAATTATCTTCTATCATAGATATTTAAAAATTTAAGAAATAATTTTTCAAGACATAATAATATTTATTACCAATTAAAAATTAAGTAAAATATCCCTTTATAATTATATATTAACTTTATAAATAACTGAAATAACAATGATTCTATTCTATCGTTAATTCATTAAATTTAAAAATTTATTCCTTATTATTTAATTTTCTATATTTAAAAAATTTATTTTATATTTATTGATAGTGTTCAAAAATATTTTTGCCGATTTTTAATTATTAAATTGAAAAAACAGTGCTATAAATTTAATTTTTTATTTTGATTTAAAGAATTTTTTATATTCTTAATAAGATAATATAATAAAATTTTTATTTATTGATAATTATTTATTGTCATGAAATATCTTTGTAAATTCTATTTATATATATTTAATAAATTTCAAATACTAATTTATTTAGAATTAATTTATTTCATATGATGTTATTTTATATCGATTTATGAATATTATAGATTTATATGATTAATAGATTTCTTTATTTTAATAGAAATATTCAATAATTATAATATTTATCATTAATAAAATAAAATATTTTTGTATAATTTAAGGAAATTAAAAATCTGTAGAATTAATAAAAATTTTTATTTAATATAATAAACTTTATTGTTCATTTACAAAAGTAAATTATAAATACATAATTGATTAAATTATAATTAAAATAAAATTTAATGTGTTTAATATTTTATTTTATAATACTATATAATACTATTTTATAATACTATTTGTATCATATATTATAATTTTCAAACAAAATGTTTGTATATTTATTAATTTATTAATTTATACCTTCATGTTTCATTAAAAATGAAATTTTTAATTTAAATTTAAATTTAAAAATGAAATTTGAAATTTTATAATTTTTCTATTTAAATATTATTTATTAATTATTTTTTGTTACTTACTACATATATGATTTTTTATCAATAGAATACAATTAAAAAACTATTTATGAAAAGGTACTTTATTAGAAGGAGCTGGTAATCTATATTTTGCTAATTCTACTTCTGCTTCTCCAAAAGTTTCTGTATGATAACAAAAATATTCTGGATTTTTATATTCTGTATTTTTAGCAGCATTAGGTCCAACAGCTGGAAAATAAAATTTAAATACAATATATGATTAAATAAAATATATATATATATATAAAATTCTTTTTTGTAATAATATATATATTATATACTATATA